CAGTGTAATTTGATGTTAAAACTAATAAGCAAGATATTTACAATACATTGAGTGCATTAAATGCCAATGAATTGTTTAAGCGGGAATAAAAATTAATAGAAACAAAGAAGGAATAATTGAAATAAACTAGGAATAATAGAAGCAAACTAGAAAAGGTGATTCAGCTGAATGTATTTAATTTTGCATAACTGATAATTATGTATGATATTTTATCAGAAACCATTAATTATTTTGGTCAGATAAAAAAATTTCAACCTAGTTGATGTTCTTGAAAAATTTTGGATTTGTATGGTGGAATGGCCTTAAAATAATAAAATTCCACTTCATTGTTTTTATATACTATGGTGTTTGGCTAAAAAGGAAATATGGAATGTAGTTAGAACTGGATCACATCTTTATTCAACATTTAGAACTCAACTGCTAGAATATTCAAAGAAAACAACATTTTTGTTGCCATTATACAAAAGATAAATGTAAAGCTTTGCAACGGTATTCATTTTTAACATTCATGCCACCTTGCAAAATGAGAATTGAAATTAAAGTTCTAAATTATAAAATAAAGTTCACAAAGTTTTGAAATACCAATAAAGTTCACAAAATTTTAAATTGCCAATGAAATTCAGAGTTCTAAATTACTAGTAAAATTCACAAGTTTTTGTGGAGGATGCATTTCTCTATCAAGACGAGTTTTCCGAAAAGCCTTTATTTCCTATTCTTTGCTGAGTGTAAATTGAGTCTTTTGATCATTTTGTTCTATTTGAAAAATTTGGTTCCTTTCCACGTAACTCATTATGAAAGGAAGTATCTTCAAGTTAGTGGGAGTAGTTCAAGTACTCGAGACAACATCCTGTCTGTCTGTTTCTTGTTAATTCTGATGACAACAAATCAGAATCATAAAAGTCATCATCTTAAAGTGATTTCTAAGGCCTTTTCTAACACTTTGTAAACATTTTCATCTTTCCATTATACTCACAGAATGAATTTCGTTTAAATCTTACACATTGCTACTAGCTAAACTTTGTAGGAACATAGAGGTTTTAAAGACATCATAACCTTCCTGAGATAGGTAAGTCAAAGGTCTATTGTTCATTAAACTTTTACATTTGAACAAAAGGGTTAGAATTTCTTCATATCCTAAGCAAGCATGTCTTAAATTTTTCCAGAGATCCTTTATAATTCTTATTAACTTCTTCCAAACTCTTCCCTAACACGATGCGGTAGGAGGGCTGAATTTCCTTTTTATTTTAAGGTACTTTTTTTTCCGATATTGATTCAATCCAACTGATTCATAATTCTATATAAACCTACAAAATTCGAACTGTTGTTCAAGTATATGTCTAAACGCAACTGTGAGGATGTTTGTGCTCGAGGAAGTGATTAATTCAAGGTGAACAGCCATAAAAACTGAACATGTGAAAATTACTATCCAAGCCTTTAAATTCTCTTTTAAGAAATCTGGAGATCAACTCCTAACATTTGGAACGTTTTTGCCATTTTCGTTCTACACTGAGGTAAAGGATTAAGAATTATTTCTAAGGCCTTAACTGCATGTCTCTGGCATGGTGACACTTTTTTTTTTTTTTTTTTTTTTAACCACAGATTGTAATTTTTCTACCTTTTATAATCCAAACTCTTCCTCTTAGAATCATAAGAAGTGTTTGTGTTCCAGCAATAAGTGTAATTACTCAAACATTATTTCCACGATTACATTCTCTTTAAAGTAACATTGTAGGGAATGTGTATTCTTGTAAATCTGGAGAATCCCAAACTCAAGATTTCATTCTCAAAGTTCCATTTTCATCAAAGAAAATCTGAAGATATTTAAGATAATACTTTCTCTGTTCTTCATCAAAAGCATTTTTCTTTCTCAAATTCTTCAATTGATATATTATCCTATCAATTTCCATTTTTCAGGTAAGTGGGTTAAAATCTTGACATCAAAGCAGTTTGTTCAGTCATAGAATATTTAAAAAATCTGGATGGAGGTTTAGCTAGAATGATTTGAACCACTGAGTTCTTCACCAAAATGAGAATATTACATTGTTTTCTGTTGATTTCTTCCATATCATTTGAAGACCAAACTGCTGGAGGTTTCTTCAGAAATTCAGGTCCTGTGCACCACTGAGATTTTAGGAGTTGCAATAAATAGCATCCTGTTGGAAATAAATTAGCAGGGTTTATATCTATGTGTTTCTGACATCTTGCTTTACTTTGATCTTGAATCGCTTTAACCCTGTTTTCTACAAATACAGATTAATTCATTTCTTTGTGCACACCAAAACCATTGAAGGATCTGACCAGAAATAAGTTTTCATGCTTGTACTGTTTACACTCTTAACAGTCATCTGATATAACCTTACTCCCAAAAGTGCAGCCATTAATACCAACTATGGTAAAGTGATTTCTTTCAAGGCTGCATGTTGGGATTTTTCTATAAGACTTCATTTTCTTTTGTTCTTAAAAATATGCAGGCACCATATGCTAATTTATTTGCATCGCAGAAAATGTGTAAGGAGCTTGTAAAATTAATGAAAATTTTTGGGATTCAGCAATCATTCAAAAAATGTATTTCTGTAGATAAATTTATTGAATTATTTTTGAATGTTACTTACAGTTCCTCGTCCCAGTCAGACTTGAGTGTCAAAGCCTCCTGCAGAATAATCTTTGGAATAAGGAAGACTAGTGAAGAAACTCCTATAGGATTAAAAACGTTTTGAATGCATGAAAGTAAGCTTTGTAAGAGCTTCAGCCCAAGATACTACTTGGCATCCCAGTTCATCTAATGGGTGGTACCGCTGAAGACCTAACATATTTTCTGGACCTTCATCTAAACTACTTCTCCAACCTCTAAGGTTGAACCCAGCTGAAGACATGCTGAAGAACCCAGCTGAAGAACACTTATTCATTAATGTTTGATTAAATTTTTCGCTTTTCAGCGTGATCATTAAGACAATTATCCATGTAGAATGTGGCTCTTAACTTTTCTGTAATAGTAGTCATTCAGCTAATTCAATAAGCATTTTTAATAAGTTCATACAAATAATGTTATGAGTTCGCTGTCTGCCAATATGTGTTTATGAATTCTATGATTCAGTGAATAAGATCACCTTTTAAATAAAGATCATATTGTTCAACATTTTTCATGATAATCTGCATAGAAATGCTTATCACTTAATCTATTAACACTAGAACAAATGTGCAGGTAGATTTTCAAAGCAATTATTTAGGCATGCTGAAAGAAGAAATAGGGCACTTCAAAACCAAAAAACTATTTGCAATGTCTAAATTAAAGAGTATGTCTTTTTTCCCACCACAGGAAACATATAAAATCTCCATTTGCTGAATCAATTTTCATTCGTAGAAAGATCTTTTCTATATCAAAAGATAAAAATGACTACACAAATTACAAAATTAAGTAAAACTATCGGAATTAAACCTACTAAATTCGGCCCATCTTCCAAGCAGCTGTTCAGAGAAGATCCATTTTCATCTTTGTTTCCTGCATCAAATGCTGGCCTAATTTTCATAGTGCTACATTCTTTAAAAACAGCATGGTATGATGAGTAAGGAGCCCTTTCATTAATTCCCATTTTGCACCAGCTTTTAAAAAAATTGTCATGTTCTTGAAACTTGCTTAGTTTTCCCAATCTCTTTGATTTATTTTGAAGTCTTTTTCAGCAGCATTAGGGTTAGATTGTAATGAAGGACAACTTTCGATCAATAGTTGAACTTTTCAATCAACAGCTGTAGTGTGTCATGGTCTGCAGTTTCTTGAAATCTACTTTCTTGAACTTGGACCCCGGAGTGTGTCAGCATATGCACTGGCCAAGTGGTCAGCTTGTCGCAAGACCCTGTTGTTTAGTCCCCAAGCCAACTTGGTACTCATTTTATCAACCCACTCAAGGCATGAAAGGCTGAGTCAACCTTGCCCAGCCCGGGGATCGAACCCTGGACCTGTGGTGCAGCTGTGCGATGCACTAGCCAGTGCGCCTTTGGTTGATGAATAAATTAGGATAATTAAACTATCAAAACTAGTACTGCAAAAAAATGTTTTTGATTGTTATTTAGTGTGATATTTAAACTAAATTGCTAAAAATATCTTAATATTATGAAGTTTTATTTTTAAATCACAGTCTAATAATCATGCAAAAAGTCATTCAGCTAATTCAATAAGCATTTTTAATAAGTTCATACAAATAATGTTATGAGTTGGCTGTCTGCAAATATGTGTTTAAGAATTCTATGATTCAGTGAATAAGATCACCTTTTAAATGAAGATTATTGTTTAACATTTTTCATGATAATCTGCATAGAAATGCTTATCACTTAATCTATTAACACTAGAACATTTTTTCTAAAGTAAAATTTCATTTTTATTTATGCAAAAATGCTAACATTGTAACTCTCTAGATATGATCTTCAACTTTAGATATCTTGCGCAATTTTTAAAATTTTATTTTTTATAATGAGTATAAAACTAAAGTGCAGGGGACATATGAGTTAGATTTTGAAGTTTTTACAAAATTAGTTTTTTTTTTTTTAATTTAAAAATGACTAAGCATGAATATTTTCATCACTTGAAACATTTTTGTAATTAGAAGTATATATCTATGACCAGCAGTTTAAAAATAACTACTAGGGGTAAGGACTTTTGTCGACACAGTGTACAAGTGATATTGCTTCTGCCATACCTAACTGGTACAATGGTTAGCATTGCTGGGGCTTGTTCTGATGTTACTGTCAAACAAGCAAGATAAATCACAACAACACACACTACTGCCATATGTAAAAACATTGTGAGTAAGAATGAGACAATTTATTTGTTAGGATTATATAGTGAAATTATAACTTTTAGATAAAACAGCATATAGGTTTTTAAAAATCACAGTATGGCTACAAAAAGTTTTCAACATTCGTCTCAGAATATAGCTTGATAAATTTCATTAATGGTCAGTACTACGAAGAATATAAATCCTTATCTGTTGTATTTTATTTCACAGGTCTTGCTGGTTCAACAATCAGTATATCAGAGGTTCCTACAGTAATCGAACAATGGCTTTTTATCAGTCTGGTGCAACTGCATCTGACATTCAAGAACCAATTTGTGCTACTTATAGAACTAAAACAGGAAAAGAAATTCAGGTTGATAATTACGGAAATATTTAACATGAATTTTTTATTACCTACTCACTGGTTTCATTAAGGTGTGGTATACCTCAGAGAGAAACAAAATTTATTTTAGAAATGGATCCATGCATGATAAAATACTTTTTATGTTCTGTAAATCTCAATGTAAGCACCTTTCAGTTAATGTTGAACTATTACATTAATATTCTGTTTATTTACATTTATATATGGACAGATTTTGTATGACATTTCATGTTTATTTACAAATGTATTAATATCTGTAACAAATGCTTGCTAATTCAAATATGGGGTCTTAATGAAAATTTCCCACTGCTGCAAATATCGTCTGCGCAAACAATTCACATTGGCTGACATGTTTAATCAAATTTTGTCAAACAATTTTTGGCATTTTGCACGTTTAATCACACTTTGGCAACCATTTTAGGCATTTTGTATTGTGAAATTTGTGAAAAAATACCATTATCATTAAGTACAAGGTGTCTGAAATAGAACTATCACGCTGCCAGATTAGAATTATCATTTACTTCCAGTTCTGTTACAAAAAGTCACCTATAGAATGTCACCAAATCGTGCATAGCTTTAGGTACTAATGTTGTATCATATGATACTGTGAAGGTTTGATACCAAAATTTCAAAAACAGTTACTATGACATTCAAGAAGCAAAGCGCTCTGGCTAGCGTACTGATGTTGATGAGGCCTGCCTGCGAGAACTTGTGGAAGAAGATTAGTATGCAACCACTCGAGTGCTTGCTAAGAAGTTAGAGGTTAGTGCCATGTCCATTAATCATGCTATGCATCACATAAACTTGATGTACAAGTTCAATCACTGGGTGCCACATGAGCTGACTTGAGTAGATAAGGACAGACGTGTTCGGGCCTACACTAATCTGCTTGAATATAAGCGCAAAGATAAAATTCTGCACTGGATCATCTCTTCTGATTTTCAACAACACACACTGAAAAGGGGATTGGTCTGTGCCTGGTGAGAGATCTTTGTCAATGTTGATGCTGCTAACAAGGAAAAATGTGGAACTGAGTTCCAGCACAAAAAGGTAATGTTCTATCAAGATAATGCAAAACCACATGTATCTGCATTCACTGGCTAGTCTCTGTACGGACTCGAATGGAATCTTTTGCCACACCTGTCATATAGCCCAACATTGCTCCTTTAGACTTCTATCTTTTTTGACACCTGCAGCTACCTTGCTGGTGTTATCTGCCATTCTTCACAGGATGTCCCAAACTAGTTTGATCTGTTTTTTGACTCGCTGCCACCAAGGTTCTGTGCCAAAGGCTTTGAAAAACTACCAAAACATTGGAAAATCGTAGATTTGGGTGGTGAACCTGCATTCAAGTTACTGCTTTTGTGTTTTTTTCCTAACTTTATTAAGAACGTTTATTGGCAGAAAGCATCTTGAAAACAGATGAGATCTTAAGAGCCCAATGCTTGCTTTTGTTGAGTATAATTTGCCTTGAATTCATTTTTGTGGGTGATGCTGCTTATCCAGATAGGGCTAATCTAATGGGTGATTTTTCTGGAGAATGAGATATTAACTGGATGAATTGGTGAGCCAGATCTCCAAAGCCTTATGCACAACCATATATGGATACCGTGACATTATTATTTCATACACACACATATATATATACAAGGTGAATTTGAAAAAAAAAAATGGGCAAAACTTTATGCGGTCACAGAACGCAGCTATACAGGCATTATTCATCAGAAAGTTTGGGGGAAACACAAATGGCAAACTACTAGGTGACATTGTAAATGGTATAAAAATGGTTGGTCCTTGCAGCCAATGGCATTTTCTACTGTGGATTGCTGACAGGGTGTCTGATTATACGAACCACAAAATTTCTATGATGATGGATGAGCTTGGCCAGCAAGATCACCAGATCTCTCATGCTTGGACTTTTTCTATGGGACCATATGAAAAGCCTAATCTACGAGTTCCCCTTTGAAACAATATGGATTTAGTTGTCAGGATCGCCGTTGTTGCCGGCGATAATCAGGAAATCCCTGGTGTCTTCACAATATGCATCAGTCCCTATTCTGCAGGCGTGAAACCTGCATTATAACTGTAGCTCTTCTCATTCTTGTTTTAGTCTTTAAATGTTACAGTGGAAAACTACCATTTAATTTCTCACCGCTTGCATCCCAACCATACATTCTGTGATGTTCCTATAGCTGTGTTCTATCACCGTTTTGCCCAGATTTTCATATTCACCCTGTGTTTATGTGTGTATATATATGTATATATGTGTGTGTTCATACCAAATTTCGTTAAAATCTGTATCAGTTTAGCAGATAATTAACCAAATGTGAAAATTCTTTAATTTTGAACACCCATTTATTTCATTCTATTTTCATTTTAAATAAAAAAATTAACTATGTATAAATGGTGTAGAAAGTACAAGTTACTAAAACTAGTATTTCCAATTTTTATGGAAGAATAGCTTTCATTTAGCGATGGGTTTTAAACTGTAACAGTACACGAAATGCTAAAAACTATTTAACTATTCATATTTTAACAAACAATAAACTGAATATAATATGCCTTTTTATAAGATTATTTTTTCTATTTAGTGGCCAATTTTGATGTTTGCTGGAGAGGCTGTTGATGATGTCTCATTTTCATCAGCTCATGGAGCTTTTCAAAGTGCTTTAAAATCTGCCAGTTTTTTACTTACAGCCTGTTCTGATATCGAGGTACGTATTTTTCTGATTTGTATTTAATTTTTCTGACTTGATTTGTGTGAATAAACAATAAAAAGTAAATCTTTCTACCATGAAAATAATAAGAGTGAAAGGATAAAATTAAAAGAACCGATGATGAAATAAAAATGTGCACTTTCACTTACCTATACCTGTGAAATAATACAAATATTGATTTTTGTCTGTTAAAAATCAAAACATTTTTATTATTTTTTGGCACTTTCGAACTGGGTGAATTCTGATTTAAATTGTCTATTTTTAATACCAAGCTAATGAAATATACTTTTCATTATATTAATATGTCGCGAGTTTTCAGATAAAGAAAATGCATGACCTTGGGCTCATTTATTTTCCTTCAGTTCTTTACAAATTATAGGAGACTTTAAAACAACGCTTCTTACTTATTTCTCAAAAGTGAGCAAAAAGGTAAACTGCATACTTCTAAGTATCATGCTGTCATTACTGTCAGATTATGTGAAAAGTCATTCACTCTCTACCACAAAACACGCTTAGAACAAAAGAAAAGATATATATTGGATTCTTTTCTATTACCAGCATGAATGTGACAAACCTGTTGAAGGTGCTGAAGATAGTCATAAGTAGAAAATGGTGTAACCAAAACAGAATGATAACAAAGCTGACATGACATCGCTCATTAATAGATAATTTTTTTAAAAAGTGATTTTTTTAAACACAAACCTTTATATGATCTGAGACAACTTACAGAAGTGCACTACATGTGCTTTGTTTCCATTATTTAATTTCCCACCTTCATTTTCTTCCTGCCCTTTCAATGAATTTATCAGAGTGAAGTTGCTAAGGAGAAAAAGCTCATTACAGAAGAAAACAGTGGTTTCTTCCATATGTTCCAAATATCAGTAGAGTACGTGTTTTTAAAATTTGGATTTACTGTTTGATTCCTATGCCTATTCTCTATTTCGGCATTTTCAATAAACTTTGATGCTTATTATCTTTGCTCATTAACCCTTTGTGGCACAATGTGTCCACTCTGGACACACCTAAAAATTTCCTTCTGTGTGCACAGAAAAATTGAATGAAAAAGGATGTATAGGTTACTCTGAACCTTCTTTATTTATAGTAGATGGCAGCTCAACACAAACCAGTCCCTATATTTTAGCCATGTTTAGTTTTTTAAGACCCTCATTTTGCAAAGAAGTCTTCCAGATGTTTTTTAGGGTATAAAAGGAATTGTTTGAAAAGAAATTTCTATGTTATTTTTTGGCTCTATGCTAATCTCCTTATTCTATATTAGTTTTAAATTTTTACCATGAAATCTTGCCTAAAATCAAATGACGAACCCTAGGTGTGCTCAGACCGGGCTCACCGATAATCTAGGACAACTGAGAGTCTGTGTCCTTTGTTTCTCCGCATCTCTTCGGTCAGTTCATTGACAACAATGCTCATTTCAGCACTCTTTTTGAAGCTCTATTCAATAAGTGTGCCACTTTAGACACACCCACAGAATTAAAACAATAAGTGCTATCTTAACAAAATTTAACTTGTGTACTCCTCAAGGCCTAATTAGACTGCCTATTTTTTTTTTTTTTTTTTTAATCAAAACTCCAACTTTAAAAGGTAGCGTGCTGGAAAAGGTTAAATGAACAGAATTTTTTTCTTGTTGACAGATGGTTCTCTTTCACTGTCTATTTTAATATAAAAAAAATTCTGTCTACCTACTCCCAAGACAGAGAAAAAAATGAATAAACATCTTATACACAGTATTTATAAACAATGCCGCAGCAAAATACCACAACAATGTCAACTTGATATTGAATTGTGATAGTATATGCTGTCAACTCACTCAAGTTGGAGTTGCTGGCATAGCTGGAATATGCTGAACTATTCCAGTTGGAGTGATCAACAGTTAATCTGATATGTTGATATATATGTAATTAGCTTGAATTTGTATTGATATATAAAGTGTTTCTATGCTCATTATTCTCTTGCATTAATTTCTCTGACTTTACATTCTTTATAACCTTGTTTAGGTTTATGATGGTGATTTTCTGGATTGACAATATCGCAGCAGTTATAATTTTATTACTGATTTCTAATGATGCTTCCTGAATTTTTCTGATTATGCATGAATAAAAATTTGCAAGTGAAATGTTTAGCAGTTGTATTCAGTATACTGAACATCTACAATGATACAAAAGACATATATAGTATAGATTCAGTTAATTCAGTAAAGCACAAGCCGACTAGAAACTGAGCAGTAAAGTCACTGAAAATTGGTAATTAAACTGAGGATCAAATCCTAGCAGATGACATGGCTGCCTGAGAGGTTAAAAGTTAATTTAATGAATCTTTCCTATCTTATCTAGTTTCAGCTTACAACTCCCTACCAAAACGAGTTTTTAGAATTGCGTTAAATGCAAATGAGAAGGAGAATAGTATTCAAGTCAAGTTCAACTGACTTCAACGGAGAGTTAGGATTTTTGAGTAGCGCATGTTTGCCTTTGGGCTATGACTTTCTATGCTGTTGTTACACTTGGCCTTTTGATAGTTTGCTGGATAATTTAAGATTACGGGCCAGCTACTTTAGAATTGTGTTAGCTTTGGCTAAATCTCTTTAGTTAGTCATTAGTTAGTTTCAGAACATTTTGAATTTAAACCAAGTAGAGGCTTTGCTCGGTACACTAAGAAGAAAGGGGCTGACTGTCAATCTTATTTTGAATGAAATAAAGGAATTGACCGTTCTTGAGTTTCGTTTTCGTTTCTTTGAAACAAGTGATTATTCGCATAGCAATTCACTAGGTTCCTTGACGCTTAGTTTAATAGAATAAAAGTGAAGAACTCTATAACATTATGTTCAGTATTCACATGCATTGATGAACTTGCATGTTCTATGAGTTTTGTAAAAATTTACTAAGAATAATCCAAAACTATTAAAATTCAGTTATGAACTGTTAACAAGAACTTGCATATTTCTCAACAAAATAAAATGCAATATATTTTATTATTTCCAATAAATAAGACGTGTTAAACTGGCTCATTGCCAAAAATATATTGTTTTATTTTAAATTCCAATAAAGCATTCCATTATTTTTTTATCAATTTGTGGCAGAGACATTTCCAAATAATGCATTCATATGTGAGTTTATATAGATATAAAATACATAAAGATGCATAAACAAAACCACACATGGCATTTATTTTAAAAGAAAGTTTACATGATGAAAGTGCAACAGAAGTCACCATTAAAAGGAAACATGTTACATGAGCCCTTTAAAAATACACACTTTAGTACTGAAATTACATATGCTTTTTAAAAGAGATGTATTTTGAAGTATAAAATAGAATTTTCTTACAATCACAATATTTTTTGGGAATAAACTGTCTACTTTTAGAGTTTAATACTGAAAATAGCTTTTCAATTTTTGTATATTAGTCTCAAAAATATTTTAAATGGTGTTTTCAGTATAAGATTTATCACAATGGCTAAGTACACATTTATGTTAATGCATGTTAATAAATATTACATAAATATAAAAATGACAATCTTTGTAAAATATTTGATTTTAATTTACCGATATTACTTATCATGATATTTTATGTTTCAGATGACTTGAAAGAGTTGTATTACCACTAATATTTGATTCATCAACAAAATTGATTAACTGAGTCACAGAATGCTCTGACAGTGCTCTGTATATAGGTTTAAGAATCTGAAAAAAAAAGAAAAAAAAAATATATATATATATATACAAATTAACTTTTTTCGGCTGCCAGATTATGTAAACCTAAAATAATAATTATCACTACATTTTAATCTGTTTTTACAATATGTAATTTACATTATAAATAATTAAAAATATTTTCTGAGTGACAATTTGATTTACAAAAACATTAATTTATATACACTTCAGTGCAAAACCTAAATGGAAGGGGGGCAGAATAATTAAGAATTTTAAAATAAATAGCGAGGTGTTCAGTGTAGGTATTAATCTTTTAATGAATGTTAAAAACCATTATGGAAATTTAATTCAGCAGCCAAAGAAGCTGTTCAAAGAGTTATAAAAATTAAATATGTTGATTGCAAAGCAATAAACTGAACATTCATGCATCTATCTTTGCAAACCAGATTTGTGGTTTTTTTATAAGTTTTCTTACTTGATTGGTGTCTAGAAATTCAAGACAGGAGTATTAGGAACAACCTTTAACATTTTGAAACTAATCAAGCTGCACTTGACAAGTGAGTTTCAAAAGATTAAAAGAGCTTTAGCATTTATTGCTTTGAGTGTGAAATCATCTGAGGTTAGAGCATATTAAAAATATCATAACTTCCCATGAAGCATGGCTGAAACTGCACGAAATTCATCAGCCTAAAGGCCCTAATACTATAAAATTAGCCTAATGAAGTAACTTAACTTGAAAAAAAGAAAATGAACACAAACGGAGAAATGCAGGATTACCTAACTTCTTCCTTCAAACCAAAGAATTCAAAACTTTTAGAATCTCATGATAAACTGCCTGACTTACACACTTACTTACTAGAAGAATTTAAAAGTCATGAATTTAAAGTGCAGGAAAATAGCCAAGTGCAGGATTCATTAATAACTAAATATCACGGCAACTAAAAGTACCGTAACTAAAAGGCCACAAAAACATCAGAATGTAGACAACGCAAAAATCCTAATCAAGAGTCTCTCTCCCAAACAAAGTTGTTCTTTCACCATTGCGAACTCAACACGAAAATTAGTAACATATAACTGGTATCTCAATTCAAGAGCAACAGCACACAAGTGCAATGGCAGAAGTAAATTCACATCAATAACTGAAATAAAAAGTGAAGTTCATTTAGCAAATAGTGAATTTTTAGAAAATCAAAGAGAAAGTTGGAATTTATGCAGTTGTCTTTTCAACTTTACAACACATCACACTAGATACATTACATGATCCCAACCTAAAAATGAACTTATTGCAGTTAACTTAGTAACACAATGTAAATGTACTGTGTACTTTTGAAATAACCAGGCATGGGTTAAAAACAAAAATAAATGTGTAGTTTTAGAAGCAACGAGCAAAATGTCAACTTAAAAGTATTACAATCCAAAAGTGGTGCACGGTCTAAAGATTACAATTACAAAATGTAATAAAGAAGCTATTTTGTGATACTTATACCAAATGCAAACAAACAAGGTTACCAAAAGCAAACACACACAGTAAACCAGAAATACTTGAACTTGTATGCACCAATATTTGTAGTCCTTTCTTTAGCTGGTGCAAAATACTTTTATGAAATTAATTGATGACAAATCACAGAAAATTACTGTGTACACCCTATGGAAAATATCCAAAGTCCTTAAAGGATTTAAAAAGTACAAATTTCAAGCTGAGAAGCAAATGGGGAAGCAACTGAAAATAGTCTGTAGCGATAATGCAAAAGAACCATAACAGAACAGAGTTGCAGAATGTGCAAATCAGACCCTACTTGAAATGGCCAGATGTCTGTTGTTCAAATCAAAATTACCCCAAGGATTATTATGGTCAGAAATGCTATCGACAGCACTTCATTCTTAACTGATGTCTGACTAAAAACTGATTACAAACGTTTTGGAACTTTTTCTAAAGCTGAGCTATGGGGTTTGACTTATATATGAATCCAGTAATTTTTGCCAAAAATGTAGATATTTTTCTGTTAATCGGGCACAGGATAAAAGTTGTTGTATTTTTAAATGTTTATAATGCTGGTTCATTGTATTTTCTCCAAAATGAAAGATGTGATGTTGGCGAAATTTTATTTATGCATATCATCTTTTGTTAGGTGTGTTTGTTGTAGCGACAACAACACAGGAAAATTAGCTTCCACTCCATCCCAGCTAGCAAAGAGCTTGAAAATTGTAAAATTACACAAACAATGGGCATAATTTAGCACATATCAAACAACCTTATATAAAAATGATATTCATTATCCTGAATCATTAGTTTCTTAAGTTCAAAACTCCAGTATAACCATGCTGTACAAAATATTTTGTTTAACAAATTACAATAAATATTACAATTTGTTGTAGCATTAGAATGGCACCCAACATCATTTCTTAAAAAATATCCAAGTTTACCTATAGCTTATATCTTATCTTCATGATGTGGAATTAATTTCTTACAGACAAAACATCCATGTTGTTTATGAAATAAATATGTTAATATCTATAATGTCTCAATAAATATGTTAATATCATCTATAATGCTATATATCATCTATAATGTCTCAATAGATGATATATAGCACTCAATAGTTAATTTTTCATGTAGGAATCATGTTTCTCCTTTGTAAGTACGCTGTATGTCTGGTAAGAAGATGAAACAGTTACATATGTCCAAATTAGATGGTGGGAGGCTAATGGTGAAAATTATCATACTGCCAAACTGCTTTTTGCATTAGCTGTAATTCCAACTGTCATGTGAATATGAAATCAGTTGATCTAGGAAGAATGGAAGAAGCAATATGCAAGTTCATAATCATCTCAGTGTAACAAGGCATGAAAGAGCAGACATATTGTACAACTGGATCATACAAGACTGTATAGCTATGCTGTAATTTATCATATGCTTTTGAATATAAGCTGAGAGTGCATTTTTTCCTTAAAAAATTTACTGCAAATTCAAAGCTCGTATATAAAAGCAAAACAGTCCTGCTACATTCAAACATGTTACCATGAGGGGGAAAATGTAGCCAAGCAGGTAATATGGGTGGAATATTTTCCAATCAAATAACTGTAAAGAGAAATGCCAGGTGCCAATGATTAAATTTTTAACTCTAGTAACCCTATCCATAGCTAGCACATTTTCACCATTCATTAATTTTCTTGTATATGATCTTTGGCATCTGTGCTAGTTTTATTTTCAGTGCCATTATATATTTTGTCTGAAAGATGAACAGAAAGAAATTTTTATATGGTAAATTTCAAACTACAGGTGGTCATGTTAGCTGAAAATTCTAACAACAGTTCAGCAGCTCGGGAATTCTCCATAGCAAAAGCCGGGCACAAATTTCGCCAACATCAGATCTTTCATTTTGGAGACAATACAATGAACCAGCATTATAAACAATATACATACAACAACTTTTATCCTGTGCCCAATTAAGAGAAAAATACCTACATTTTTGGCAAAATTACTTCATCCGTATATAAGTCGAACCCCATAGCTCAGCTTTAGAAAAAGTTCCAAAAAAATCCAGCCTTATATACAGAAATATACAGCATTTTAATTAAATGTTAGTCTGCAATTCTACTGTTTTGTCCATTCCACTAGAATATGCAAATGTTGTGAATTTAAACAAGGAGAGAGTATCTAAATTTAAGACAGAGATGGCATAATCAGCCTGCTGTGGTGAAATTCCTTGGTTATTGTCAGCCTTTACACTGTTGCTAAAGCATCTTTGTAGACTGTTTTAGATTAAGCCAAATTGAGTTTAATTTTAAAATTATGCACTCTTGCATAAGAAGTATGATGCTTGGAACAGCAAGAAGTATCTGTATGTATAATCAGATGTCTTGAGAAAATTGTGGACTATGCATGGTAGCCATTGTTTTATCTACCTTTAATGATGCAGTATTGGCATCTGGCTATAGTGATGTATTGAACAATACACAGTTTAAAATTAACTTTTCAACTGATGCATGATGGATATGTGCATATATAGCACCATCATAGAAAATGCTCAATGGATTCTTATGTTTCATATGGCCCAACACTAGAAGTTACCATATCGGATGTGGTTAGATGCAGCAGGCCACACACATCTGGAACTCTAGCCACTCAGTCTTACTTTGCATATCTATTACAGCCTCTGGTTGTCCCATGCCTTTAGAATCGCTCCAAAGCTACCCAGTAACAGGAAAATGCACAACCATACATCACATTCAATCTTAAACATTTTCTCAACACAATGGTTTCTGCATTCCCAGATCTTTTACCGAAGATGTCTCATCTATGGTTTTATAGAAACTGCCAAAGCAAATGAAATCTGTCAACAAATTACACTTGCTTGAACTGCAATGTTTCAAAATAACTTCCAAAGTCTTCCCAGTTAAAAACACATCATCATAAAAAACAAAGCAGGTTTAACTATCAAACTAATCCTTTGAATATTATGAAATGGTAATAAAAATTCATATTTGATCTAATCTGAATTTAAGAGACTAAAAATAAGTGCACTTACTTCTTTAAAAATATTTGATGCAAGAATATCTATCTGAGTACCAACATCTCGCATGTCACCACTGTATCTGCAAAAAATTTTTTTAAAGTTTAATAGCATACATGTAAATATAACGTATCTATATTATTCAAAATAAGTTATATGTCTACTAGGATTCAAATTATTTAACAAATGGTTGGTTTAATTGAATAAGTGATAACAAATAGCAAACTGAATAGTGATATGTTACATAAATATATACTACAGTTCAATTTTAACATTCGGTTCACCAAATGAGAAATATTTTAGGGAGGGGGAGATATGGTTATATTTTTAGCTCATAATGTTGTTGCATGGGTATGGGTCCTTAATGGCTTGGATGTACAATAGCTCTGGAGCTTTCCACAAAAGTACTAGTACAGCTTTTCTCAGTATAACAGAACATAATCAGTGGTTATCACTTCAAACTACCAATAGCATTAAACACAATGCAATGTAGAGAGGATCTAAAGAGTGAAACTCGCAATACTCTCAACATTCCAAAGTCAGTGAACTAAAAACTCAGAACTGATGCTCTCTCCATTCTTATATAATTTCGCCCCGACCACTGGGAAGTCTAATACATACTCGCCAAGCTACAACACTAAAAAATCAAGAGATTTTTTTTTCAAGAAAATAGTACTGCAGCATTGATGTTTGATGCCAAAGAATAAATGTGCTTTGCATAAAGGAGTAATGAAATGGCCTATCGTAGAACTGGATCCTGAAAAACCGTCAGAATGAATTAACTGCGACAAGAAACAGTATATATTTATCTGCTTTAAAGTAAACAAAAAGGGATGTAGATATGAATGTGAAAACTTTAAAGGAACTTTAAAGTTGGTGTAGCCAATTTATGGCACAGAATAAATTAGTTCTACAAGAAAAAAAAAAGGGGGGTTCACAAAGACGACCGAAAGATTTGGACCTAAGTTTCCGCTTATTGACCTACGAAGGCAAAAAAAAAATTTTTTTTTTACTCTCACACATTGGACATAAGGATGAAACTCCAATAATGTTTGATATCAGAAATGAAAAACTGATATGAAAGGAAAAATATGATTGACATAAAAACAGCAGGTCATGAAAAATTTAACCTCACCAAAGTGCTTTACTGCTTCGCGGACAGTACAAATTCAAATTTCAGGGTTGTTTTTAAAAGAAAGATGATGCTGAAATGTAATTTTCCAAATGGTGTTTCCATTCCTGTTTGCGAGAGAGAATGGGTGGGAGAAAACATTGTAAAATTGTGGATAAAAAATGTTCAGGAAACACATCCTGTTGCCTTAAAGAACCCAGAAAGTCTGAGTTTGGAGCATGTTCAGATTCTATCTAACACATAATATGAAGAAATTGATGAAAGAGTGTAACAGAAGTAGCAGTGGAATATGTAGATGTTAGAAGGTGAAAAAACATTTACAAAAGGAGACGAAATATGTTATGCTAGTCTATAAATAATGTTTGAGCGGATAATAAAAGCATGGAATGAAATTAAACCGCAAATAATTCAAAAGTTCTTTAAAACGTAATATATTTAACAATCTAGACAGAATAGAAGATGATTATTTATTTATGGATCAAAGTAACAGTGACAATGAAGATGAAAGAGAATTCGTTGATGTGACAAGGTACAATTAAAGACAAATAGGATGAATTTTTCATCTTATCTGATAATGAAAATTTTTAAATGCATAAAGTATCTCATTATACGCCGAGTACATGGTGTATGAAAATATATTTTTCAGTAAATATTTTCTAAACTAATAAGCACATTTATTCATTAAAAAATTTTCTTTGCATTTTTTAGCAATTCAGTGGTATATCAATAATTTAATAAATTTGCATGCTTCTAGTTTTCAAAAATTGAAATCTGTAAGTTGCTTCATGCAGAGTATTTTCTGAGAATTTTGCAAATTTATTTCTATCTGTGGAAAACTTTCTGCTTTCTTTAATTTAACACTGCTGTATTTGTATGTATGCTACTGATTTTGCTTGTGCTATTCAAAACCCTTCATGTTCATGGCAATCATTATCAGCATCATCAAATATAGAAGCTAGCCATAAATTATGCCAAGCACTTTAAAAACTGTTTAGACACGTCTGTAATCAAAGCAAAACTCCCCTCTCTACAACAGAGGATCTGACAGCAAAATGGAAGATTCTCACATTGCCAACAGCTATACCTGTGCCGAATTCTAAACCACAAGCAATGGTACTCACTTCAGCCGACAGGGTATGCTTCAGTCTCTGGCATAACTAAAATTTCGCTACCGCTGGTGGTGGGCTGCCTGTAGAGATTGTGGATATTTAAATTTTTCAATATTTATGTCTTTAAAACAGTGTTCTTGTAGATAAAATTGCTTGTGGATTATATCTCGTGCTTTAAATTAAGATTATTAAGATTTTATAAAATGAATATTAAATGCAATGCATTTCCTTTTATTGAAACCTTAACTGTATTAACCTACTTCCTCCTTGAGAATTTTGTTACTTCACTTTGAATTTTATCTAATGATATATTACCAGTTTTACCCCATCAACTGACACTCTTGACTTGATGTTCGGAGGTAAGCTGTTCAAGACTCCTGTTATTTTCATTTTAAAAAATGCTGCAAAATTTACTGGCATGCATAAGCAACTTGTGTAAATAAATTCTAATGTTAATATGAATAATTTGCCTCTTACTGTATGAAGTTTTATTAATCATTCTAATGCTGACATAGTATAAACACAAAATGTCCTTCCATAGCCTTGTACTTTCTGCGATTATAAAAAGATTACATGTGTGTGTTCCTGCAGCATTTGCACATGTGAAGAATAGCAGCCTCAATTTGAAATCTTATGTTTATGCGCATTCTATAGATTTCACCAGGGTATTTCGGGTAGCATACTACCAGAAAAGGCCACTTTTGTCAGCACTATTAATTTGTTCAGGAGAGAACTTTTCACTCTTAATGAGTTCAATGAATTTATCTGCAAATCTTTCAGCTTTCTTGTCTGAAATTTTTTATTCCCTTATACCATGGCAATCTTTGAATTTGGTTAACTAACTTGTCGAATATGTGCACCCAGTTTTTAGGTCCATTTCCTGATGAAATATTTTGGCTTGAGGCATTAGCATTGAACCTCTCAATGGCATGCCCTCGCTGCAACACCTCACTCAATCATTCATCCCTTTGTCATAATCTTCACAATTAGCATGATGTATGACTTTTCTGTTATTCACTGCAAATAGGGTGCTGAATCCACAAATAATTAAAAAAGTTCCTTTTCAGTTTTCCAGTCCCATACTTTTCTCATAATTTTGAGATGACGAGGTCTTTAGCACAATTCCAATTTTTGCTTGATTGTCACTGAAAACATTCTCTTGCTTTGCAGATTCTGCTGTTGTTCCAAAATCAAAATCTCTTTTTGACATATTCTAAAATTCAAATTTTAATTATGATAAGAAAGCTACAATAATAGCCTCTAAAAAATTAAAAGTTGGGGCTTCACTGATTATTCAGGTCAGATGGACTTATGCTACCCCCTACAACCATTCAAGGACTGAAAGTGTGGTTGTGGCCATATTGTGATTTCTTAATCAGCAGGTGTTTCAAAGAGACATACAGGAAATTTAGTCCTGAGAATATTGCTTGTATAAGCACACTTGCTTTTTGTTGAGTATTATGTTCTGATTTGTATTTGCAAGAAAAAAAAAATTGCTGGTGGTCCAAAGGTATGGATTTTGAATCCTAACCTCATTGTACCATATATATATGCCAAATATTAAAAACACAAGGAAAGGCCGGAGCAGTGTCGATGCGTGCTTAGATCCATACTTGAAGAAAAATTTTGATTGTGTAGTATGCTAATAATGCTTAACTTGGTAATATATAAAGAACTTGTCAGTCGAGGCAGTTTTAGTTCCATTTTTATTTGCAATTGATAATTTATGGCCACAGTCACTTGGCACTCTAGTCGTGCCTTTCCCACAGAAGATTTACATTTTTGATACTTGTTGAGATAAAAAGCAAGCCAGCGAAATTACATCTTAGCACAATAGAGAGCAAAAGCTAAAATGCGTGTTATGCAAGATGGAAGCACGCGAAGAGAAAAGTTTTGGTTTACAATTTTACGTCTCAGAGCTGCATGGGGCCAAGAGTGATCTAGAAATGACGCGATGCTGAGAAGTTATTACGATTTTAGAATAGAGAGGGAAGAATTAATGTTTTAGTTTCAACTTAAATTTTATTCATATATTTTTATCTTACATATTCCCCCCTCAAAAAGAAAAAGGCTTAGCAACAGAGAAGCCTTTTTAAATATAAAGAGTTAAAGCTAGCAATAATAATAAAATATAAATAATAAAATAAAAAAAAACATAAATCATAAAAATTGTTGTCCTGTAAAGTATAATTATAATATCAATTTTTTAAAATAAATTTTTTAATTTTTAGAATCATTGAATTTTTCAGCATTTCAGTCCAAAAGTCTTTTTGTTTGAGAGTTTCACATAATCATAAATTCTTCAGGGAAGGTTCTTGTTATTACAGAAATCACAAAATAAACTTTACATAATCATTACTTATAATTAAATGCATATAAATATTTATGATATTAATTTTCATATTCATATATATCAATAAATTATATATTTAATACCATTTAATAATAGGAGTAAGCTTCAGAAAATATGGTTTCACCGTTATTATCTTTCATTTACAATTCCTGTATTATACCAACTGGAAGGCCTCGCAATACTTCTAAACAAACCATATCTATCAATAGGGCTGTCCTCTTAAGCCAACCAGTGTGTTCTCTGCACTGGTGGCCCAGGGTGCCTAGGCAGTTACTTGAAAAGACCTCCGTTCCTTGCATAAGGTAACTGGCCTTTGCGAACTGCACTAATACATTCCATAATAAAATAATAATAATAATAATAATATAAAAAAATTACACATACTCATAAAATGAGAGCCTCCAACATTATCTTACTTGAAGAGGGTGAAGGGAACAACTGTGCAGAGGTAATTACAGGCCTCTGCTTAGGAACCCAGTACTCCCTTGACATACACTTTACTTAACATACAATCACCCATAAATTTAACATGCATTTACCATAATTTCATATTACTTATCGGTACTAATTTCACTTATTTTTTACATTCACTCCATTTTTAGAATAATTATAAAATTCGTATTCAAAATTTTCAACAAAATTTCAAAAACATAAAAACTTATCTTAATATCCTTCCCTATGAATAATTTAAATAGCTTAAAATTAGTTACTTTATTTGCTCACACATAATTATGAAAAATTAATGAACAAGAATTTCAGATTTTCTCAAAAAAAAATTGCAGAACCAAAGTTGAAATGAAAGCTATAGAATCTGCGGCACATTAAATAATTTAGTTCCTGAGCTAGATTCACACGAATGTAATAATTTTTAGCTGTTGAAAAAAAGCGAAGTGCAAAAATATTTTCTGTCGCACGTACTTGCAAACACTAACTCAGATCGACCTTGAACCCGCTGTAATGCTGAATTCCTAAACGGTAATTCACTGATGATTTAAAGCACTTTTTTTTCTAAATATTGTAGAGATCGGCAAAGCAAATTCAATATTCCTTTTTACTAGGCATTCGAACTGCTCAATTTATCGAGAGATTACTTTCAATCTGTAAACACTATACGTGATGGTTTTTTAAAGCACTTGCAAAACACCACAGCAGAAGAATGATCTGTTATTTTTTAAACACTGAAAAAACAAATTTGATGATTCACTTCTTTCACATTATCTTGGATTTATCACAAAACGATGATTTGAAGAGCTGAACTAAATTTTCGATTGAGGTTTCAGGCTGCAGGAAACTATCCTACCGACTTAATTGTCATAATAAAAGCAAAGGAAAAGACGGAACACTGTAGATAAGTGATTAGACCGATATTGAAGATTTTGATTGTGTAGTATGCTAGTAATGCTAACTTGGTAATATCTAAAAACTTGGCAGTCGAGGCAGTTTTAATTCCATTTTTATTTGCAACTGATAATTTGTGGCCACAATCACTTGGCACTCTAGTCATGCCTTTCCACAGAAGATTTACATCTTTGATATTGTTGAGATAGAAAGCAAGCCAGCGAAATTACATCTTAGCACAATAGAGAGCAAAAGCTGAAGTGCGTAGTTATGAAAGATGGAAGCACGGCAAAGAGAAAAGTTTTGGTTTACAATTATTACGTCATCAGAGCTGCGCGGGCCATAGAGTGATCTAGAAATGACACAATGCTGAGAAGTTATTACGATTTTAGAATAGAGAGGAAGAATTAATGTTTTTAGTTTAAACTTCAATTTTGATTCATATATTTTTATCTTACACACACACACACACACATATATATATATAATATATATGCAAACAAATTTTATAAGAAAAATGCATTGCATTTTGATAGAAGCAAATTAATTTTATTACTGAAGTTATTTAGCATTTTCTGTGTAGGTCGACTTCATAATAAACAGATCATGAATGCAAGTTTTTGTTCTTGGATAAACCCTTCTTTTTTTATATATATATATGTCATTGTCTTTTTAAATTAATCTTCAATTTATAGGACATGTAAAGAATTTATTTGTCTGGAACATTTAAAATGCTAAGTTCTAACTTACATTTCATTTCATGGCCTTTTTTTGGGGGAGGGGAAGGGGTGCAATGAGCAAAAGTTTTGTTGTATTGACAGTGAGTACATACAGATCATTAAAAAAGGCACTTGCAAAGATTTCCCTGGTATTGAAAATAAGAAATATTTTGATTTTAATTTTTTTAAACCTAAAAGCCTCTCTCTCTATACCTGCCTGCTCATATGACAAGATCAGAATCACTTTTCTTATTTTCCGAGCTGTTAAACGATTAAATCTCGAAAATAAGAAAAGTATACGGACTTTTGGATTTTAACTTTTTTTTTTTTTTTAAATTCTTCAAACTGAGAATTTTACCTCAATCTCACTGTAAAACATGTTTATTCGGTGCTAATACCATTAACACATTTTTCATTTTGTGACATGCTTTGTCTGAATTATTAATCATTAATTATGTGTCTAAAAATCTTGCTAAAAACCTTCAGTACTGTTGATTAGTCAATTTTTCTTGTATGGAATAGTCTTAATTGTAAGAGCAATTAACTATTTGCATAAAGAAATACCTGGTTCTTCACATATTCAGTTTTAACACTGGCAAATTCTTTTACAATAATCCCCTTTTTGTGAATGCCCATTTCATGTCTTTTTACAAAACAAAACAAAAACAAAAAAATATGATATATTCGTTCTTGAAGGTCAAGCTTTCATCACAATAGATCAAAGCATGGTCATTAAGGTCCATGAAACTCCTTTTCATTTTTGGCAGATATACACTATTTTTTGATAAAACATATTTTGAAATGGGTTAAATAAAAACCCAATCAGACACCATGAAACTTTTGTTTGGAGGTGGCTGGTTGTTCCTCATTACTTGCAATGCCGGCATGAGATGGTTCTCGTCATGTGGTTTGAATTCCATATTCACACAAAGTGCTTATTTACACTGAGAATGGCAATCAAAGCTACACAAGAATGAAGACAAGTAAAATTAAAAAAACTCTTACAAACTTTAACCTAAATTAAGGACTGTACGATTCCTACAATTTCTGGCTTTTCCCTTTCTTTCAATAAAGCCTTAGTCAAGCAAAAATAATATATAACACTGCTTGAAGAGAGTTAAGCGAAATTCATCTCATGTTAAATAACAATAGGATGCAATTTATGAATGTATTAACTTGAAAATACATTAACAAATGCATATTAAATGCTACATTTTAATAATCATATTATATATATTCTTAAAAATTATACTCTGATATTATACTGCACAAAATATGAGCATCTTCAATTACATATTAAATTATATAAAACAAATTAAAGCAAATGTATTATAAATACCTGATGTAAGTCCAAAGGCACAGAGTTAATAAAACAACACCCATGATGAGATTACACAAATTGGCAAGAGCCAGCATTCCAATTAATCCAAAGATTCCAGAACAAAAGTACATGATTATTACTAAAGTAAACAAAGTGGCAGGTGTTTTTGCAGAAGCAAATATGTTTTTGCCTTCATTGTGTTTTTTATAATTAAGATACATCAAATCCAGTTCCTAAATGCAAATAAAATGTCAAAAATTTAAAAATCAGTATAGCATTTTTCCAAACATAATATACTCAAACAACTTAAACAGTGAGTTTGCTAAGCACAGTACATTTGAAAAACAGTCACTGATTAAAAATTCATATTAATATTTTACAACTAAGTTAGATGATAATCAATAAATGAAATATTTTGAGCATACAAGTATTAAAACCCCGAAAAACTGTGCACATTAATTTCAGCATGAAACCCAAATTATATTAAATTATTTTTAAATAAAATAAATGATAAGTCACCATTATTATTGAAAATATACAATATGTGACATCTGAAGTACTTATTCTAATACAGTAGAAAGTCCAAGATCCGGACGTGTTAGGACTTCAGCGATCCTGGGTTTGGGATTTTTCTGGATATTAGATCATCAGTTGAAATCTAGTAAGATGGCATGTAGAAATTATAAAGTTAAAGATATGAAATCGTGATTTATGAAATAATGAAACGTGTATGATCTAAATAGTATCAAAATTTATAAAAAAAAAAGATTAATATTTATTTGTTTATTTTATTAAACATTTCTTTAAACATAAGTTGTTTACGTGGCTTCTTTTTTGTGCTAATACTTTCGCTTTAATTCTATAGACAGATATAATTTCTTGTTCAATTACAAAGTTCCGCTGTTCAAGTCCTGGAATTGCTGGATCGAAAATTCGGACTAAGTTGTCAATCGAATTTTTTTTTTGTTTTGTTTTCAATAACCTCTGTCACTTTCTTCACTATCGGTAGTGGTATTTTCGAGATCTAGAATCATACTACAGATTTTGCCGACTGTCAATTGATTCATGATTGGAGCATTGTCATCACAATGAAAAATTTCTGTTATATCACCTTCATTTATTACCGCTTCTTCACATTTCTTTATGAAATGCACTGACTGGAAAATTTCACCTCTGGTGTGCGATATCCAAAAACCTTCATCATCCTCACCATGAAAAGGTCATAAATTATGCCAAGCACATAAATCATGCCAAGCATTTTTAAAGTATCTGTAGACATATCCTCCCATGATCTTGTGATTCCCCACACAGCAAATTGTATGCTAAAATAGTTAAAACAATTCTCGAAGTCTTGCCATTATTCAAGAAATTTAACGTAGACTGTAGAAAAATGCTACTTTATACTTGAATTTCAGCATGTGCACTATTCTGATCTCTATAGGGTGAATGATGGACGTACAGTTTGAATAATACGGATATATTATCTTTCAGTAAAACTTTGAGCCATACAGTTGTCTACAATCAGGCATCAGACAAAACAACTGAATTCAAACGTTGCCGAGTTTCGTGTATGAAATGATTTTCAAACCAATCATTCATTAATGCTTGTATCATTCATGCTCTTTTATTTGCATGATATGTAATGTGAAAAATCTTTACTTTTTTAAATGCTCGAAGTCCTGTATATTTTTTCGATTATAAAAAGTTTACACTTGTGTGTTCCTGCAGCAGTTGCACATGCTAAAATTGTTTTTCTCTCTTTGAAATCTTTGACAGCAGTTGGAGTCTTCTGCAGAGGCTGCCAAGGTATTTCACGGTACATACTGCCAGAAAAGACCAGTTTCATCAGCAATGTAAATTTGTTCTGGAGATAAATTTTCACTATTAGTGTGTTCAATGAATTCATCTGCAAATAGTTCAGCAGCTTGAGTATCAGCTGAAGCTTTTTCACCTGAAATTTTTAATTGCCATATACCAGGGCGATTTTTAAATTTGGTTAACCAACCTGTTGAATATGTGCACTCAGTTTTTAAGTTCATTTCTTCATAAAATATTTTGGCTTGAACCATTAGCACTGGACACCACAATGGCATGTCCTTGCTGTGGCGCTGTCTGACCAATTTAATCAACACATTGTCATGATCGTCATCACTTTTAGCATAGCAAATAATTTTTCTATTACAGTCAAAAGTCGTTAATTCGGACACCCATAATCTGGAATGATCTATAATCCGGACCTCAAAGCTACAAACTTTCTGCGCATGCGTCGTGTTGACGCTGTGAATATGCTTGTGCGCGTGCGCAAAATACGTTTATGAGTGCGCGTTTAATGTATAACGGACGGTATAAGCTAAGCTAAGCTAAAATTATCTAATTATCTATTTCAGTTAATGTTGCAGATTGCGTTGTTCCTTAATCTTCGAATTGTATCCGGCTTATTATTTTTTTGCAGACTGTTAGAGCAATTTTATAAAAGTAAGCTTGAACTTTTGATTATGTCAAATAGAATTTCTGATATATATTTACTAATATGTAAAGGATCTACAAAGCAAAAGTATGTTTCTAAGTCCATTAAACAAAAAGTGGAATTGCTGCAGAAAATGGATAAAGGCATATCCTTTATTTATCTAAACTTTGTTTATCTTTAACGCCGCGGCGCGCAATGAACTGGAAGTTGATCTGTCAGCCCTATCCTTATCTTCAGGGCAGATGTTTTTATTTTATTTGGCTTATAATTCCTTACTAAATGTAGTATTTCATCTCGATGTACTCCGTCTTTGATATGATTTAAATCAAATTCCTCATATAATTCGCTTCCGATAGGGAAGAAAGTGAGAAAGGTTATTGAAAAAGAAAAAATTTGGAGTGACAAATTAGTCGGTATTCTCGACACAGCAATTATAGGACTTGAACAGCGGAACTTTGTAACTGAACAAGAAATTATGTCTATTTATAGAATTAAAGAGAATGTATTAGCACATAAAAAAACGAAGCAACTTAAACAACTTACATTGAAAGAAATGTTTAATAAAGTAAACAAATAAATATTAAGCTTTTTTTGTAAATTTTGAAACCCTTTAGATCATAATTGTTCTTTATTTCATAAATTACAGTTTCATATTTTTAATTTTATAATTTCTGCATGCCATCTTACCAGATTTAAACTGATGATCTATAATCTGGAAAAATCGATAATCAGGAATCGGCGAAGTCCTGGCGAGTCTGGATTAACGACTTTTGACTGTATTCATTGCGAGTGAGGTATCAGAATTTACAAAAAATTCAAGAAGTTCGTTTTTCTGTTTTCTTACGTCATATACAGTTGACTTTGCAGTGCCATACTCCTCCCATTATTTTGAGACGGGTATAACTTTATCCACTTTTTGCAGCAATTCCACTTTTTGTTTAATGGACATTGAAACATGCTTTGCTTTGTAAATCCTGTTGGCAGCTCCAGAATTAGAAACACTTGTTGACATAACTGAAAGTTCAAACGTTAATTTTCATAAAATTGCGGTAATAATAACAGCCTGCAAAAAAATAGTAAGCTGGACCAAATTAAAAAAGTTAAGGAACAGTGCAATCTGTTATATTAACTAAAATTTCTTGAAATCTGAAAAGTATAATTTTAGACTAGCTTAATAGCATCATCTGTACATTATTGGGTATGTATCATGAGAGTGGCAATGAAAGAAGAGTTGTTTCACTAAATTTTGTCTTGCTTCTATCGTGCACTGAGACAATTAAGCATGAATTGTATCAGTTATTTACTATGCTTAAGGCTTATCTGAGTCTTGAATAAATAAATTTCCACATATATTTAACGCTTATCGATGGCAGACACTAGATATCTCACCACCTGATGTAGTCTCTGCGAGTCCTAAATAAAGTGCTTCTGTAAGTTTTAAATTCTTGCCCTCCCTAAATTTTTGGTCCTAGTGCTTAAATTCTAAAAATTTTGTCATCTCTTAATTTTGTTTCTCGATATTTCGCTAATTCCAAAAATTTTGTCTTCACCTAAAATCTGGTGCCCAGTTCGGCCATACGAACTCTGACGCCGGTTCTGGATTTACGTGAATAACAAATCAGTTATTCTTAATTCAAATAGCACTAAATGTTATCTTTTGACCTATTAGTATCATTAACAAAATCTATTTTTAGCATACGGAAAGAAATTTTTGTAAAATTTTTCCTCTTCAGCATTTATTAAGTGCATTTAACTTAAATCTGTAATCATCACCAAGCGTAACGTCAACGTAAAAGGTTACTATACTCTTTGTTATTCAATAACTAATATTGAAAAAAAAAATTGTTTAAACACTGTTGCATGAGTCATTACTCAAGTTGTCATGTGTTGATAAACATTCGGTAATGAAAGCAAAATATAATGATTTGCCAGCTTGGCGTCAAGGATTTAAAATATTAGTAAGTGTAAAATCAATGATGTTTTTATGTAGAATGTTTTGGTTTGAGATGTATGCTAAGCAGAATGCAGCTATGGAGCCAAATTTTATTGATCATACAAATTGATTGTTTTGCTAAAATGATTGTTTTTTTTTAATAACGTGGTATTTTATTTATAGGCAAAGTGAAATTAAGAATCAGGAGTCTCTACATATTAAAGGGGGCAAAAATCAAATGTGCATGCGTAAAGCATACAAAAAAAAAAAAAAAAAAAGGTTATTCGTGGCTTAAGATCTGGATTTTAGATCATACCGGATAGTGGACGTCCAGATTTTGGACTTTGTATTGTACCATAAATGATCAGCAAATCAAAATCACAAATAGATTCAGTACTACAATTAGAGGGCTCAACAAATACAAAATTTCAATTTTTGTGGTTTGTGTAGAACAAAATGTTCAGATAATAAAATGTTCATTATGCTTAATTTAGTTACATAACAGAATAATGTATACTTTAATACGCAAAATTTTCTAAGGTATGTAGGAGTAATACTGCACAAGGCCAGTTACAAATTATGTATGTTCTATTTTATACAGTTAATAAAATTCAATTTTAATAGCAAAATGATCAACTTTAGTTTTATAATTTTTCTCTAAGTATAAGTGAAGAATCCAGTTTTGCTTGGTGTCAAGGATTGAAAATCACATATTACTTGGCTTGATATCAAATACTTAAATCGGTTATGATGAAAGGCTGAGGATTCGGTATTGAACTAATCAGAAAATTTTAGAATTTTAGAAAAGATATCCCCCCCCCCAAAATTAAGTA